ATATTAAGATATCAGTTTCGAGTCAGGAAATTTATTTAAAAAAAAAAAAAAATATATATATATATATATGGACAAGTGGACGGATATACACATATATATATAGGTTCTAAAGGATATTTATATATTAAGATATCAGTTTAGAGTCAGGAGATAAAGAAAATAATATATATATATGGATAAGTGGACGAATATATACATATATAAAGGTCAATAAGGATATTTATATATTAAGATATGAAAATCGAGTCAGGAAATAAAGAAATAAAATAAATTATATATATATATATATAAACATATAACTTTTCGATATACCAGAGCCAGCAGAATAAATCAAGTAGGTCTGGCAACTATATACCGGGAGTGACAGTGTGAAGGAGGGCAGAGGAGAGATTTGTAAAAAACGAAAATTCCCCCGCTCAGCAGAAAGGGCAATCCCATTCGACACGCAAGCTTGCTCCGTTAGAGCTTTCCAAGCCTGCAGGCCTCACTCTTCGGCCGCCGCAATGCACGAACCTGTGCACCAGAGTTTCGCGAATGCAGATGACTGAGTAGATTAGTCAACAAGCAGCACAGGCTGTGAGGTGTGCCAACCTTCATGTTTTATTCTATTCGCATCCGCAGACGCCAACATGTTTTACAGATGGTACAGCCTTGACCTCCTGGGTTTAACAGATGAATGGGGTGGGACCTCTAGGATTCACTGAACAATTCGCAACAAGCTATGGCCACTTGTGAAAAGCTCGCAAACATGGCGTCATTCCACTCGATCAACTCGGCGATCTGACAGATCAGATGCGAATTTTTCCGTGACACCTACACATTACTAACGAGCAGAGAATAACAGGAAGTTCGATTTTTCGAGCAGTATACTCTCTTTTCCTTTATAAGTAGGATTTTGGGACAACCAGCAGATCATATATATATATGTATTTTTTCCACTCATACCATTATGGAAAAATTCAACCACCGGTCTTTCATCACACTTAAACGAAATAGGGTGAATAAATCTCATTTATGTGATCTGCTGGTAGTCTCAAAAGCCTACTCAAAAACGGAAAATAAGTAATGTAGTCGATTGCTATAGGAAATACAACTTTGCTCCATCAATAACCCCACCACAGGATGTGATATTTGAAAATGCCCGATCTTCCTTGAAATTTATATCTGCCAAGGACAGCCTTGACAATGTGGCGTAGTCGTTGACGTAACGAGATTATACTTAATACTGTCATGGTTCGAGTCCCGCTGGGGGTGTTGATGAGACTGGAGGGAGCAGCTCGAAACTGCAGTCCACTTCAGACTGAATGAGAATACCTTTTAGGTAGCAAGATTATGTGAAATTCAATGGAATCGTAAGGTATACTCAAATCATCGTGGGAAAATTCAATTGCCAGTCCTTTATTAAACTTTCCTATTGCTTGCATCCAGAGCTTGAAGTCCTGCTACAAGCAGGATTAATTGTGGTAAAGGAATGGTTTTTATCTGGGATGAACTGTTGTCATAACCTCGCTATCCTCAGGGTTATCAACCAAATTTTATAGTACTTTTAAATTAGCAGTATATCTTGAGTCACCCTAAGTCCTCTCTGCACTCAATCCTCTTCAAGAAGGCCTTATGGGATACGAAACCAAGTGGCATTCACTGACATTCTAAGGTCAAACTACTCAAATATGCGAAATAAGACCTTCATTTCTACATCGTCCCAAGCCAGCCAAGGCTAGTAGAGACATTATTCATGTTATGATGATATTTTTGCAGCCTACTCACTAGTTGCAAAGTAGTGTGCTTCATTGTAATGGCAAATACGGCTTAACTTTAGGGACACCAGTCCAATTATAATTTTGATAGTTCTGACTTTTGAAAGTTGTATCTCTCCTGTAACATACTGTGTTGGGTGGTGATGCGCATTGTCGAGGGGTATGTACGATCCGAATTCGAATTCCGTTGAAGGAGACGGAGAAAGGTGACAGCTATGGTCCTGTAGGGATGAGAAAGCCTACTGAGAAAAAGTACCGAGTTAAATTTAATGAAATCGCCAAGCTTACTCATTTAATCAGAGGTATGAAGACCAAGATGGTGTGACCTTTTGTGTGGTCGTAGTCTCCTTTCGTGGTACAGAAGTTGTTTGACCTTGTTTTCGCAACTTGGTCATATTGGTACCACGTCCACGGTCCGAATTTGGAAATGATCATGCATACAATGGACTCCGGACTAGGTGCGCTCTTCTAAATCTTCTTTCTCATTTAATTGTGGTAAATCCTGCTACCTACGCTTACTTAACCTAAAGTGATATTGGCTGTTTCGAGCGATCCCCTCAATTCAGACATCAGTCCGGTATCTAATTTTTTGTAAAAGGCCTATATCAACTTCATAGAGACCTTTCTTTTCAAATGTTATGCTTTTTTCTGTTGGTTGTGATTCCAGCACAACCTCGGCCTTTTGTGTATGAGGACGTTGCAGGGAATTAATGACCGCAAAAATTGGGCGTTTACGCATTTACGTGATCCTTAATACTTGAGTCCCCTTAAAAACATGACATTTTATCTCGCGAATATTATGTAATCCTTGGTTTTTTTGCCGTGGGCTCGAGTAAACAGAGTGTTTGAGTAAAAATACCCGAAGCCTCGTTTGGAACCCCGCCAATGAGTATGAGTCCCGTGCGAGACGATCGGATTCGGATAGGAGGACATTTGTGAGGTATTAGGCGGAGGGAGACAGGCTCACAAGACCATATGCAGCTCACCTGAGGCGCCTTGAGTGCCATATTATCTAAGATTTAACTTGGATCTTAAACGAAATATGCCAACTGTTTCGGTACCAATTCTCCTATCATTCTGGGACAAGTTTTCCTAGTTGACCGAGTAGTTGGCATGAAAATGGTGATTTTCACTTCCATGTTATAAGTTGGCGGAGTATAACTGTACCTATAGGTTAAAAGGATCAAGCAAACGAATCAAACCCCGATTTAAGTCGCTTTGATTCTTTGACGGCTTGAACTTCATAAAAATGTAAAGATACATGATTCCTTCCACACATGCTCAATTGAATCCTCCTTTTCTGGCCCGACATCTCGGGAAGCCTGTCGGTAATAACATCCCCCATTTCGCAGATAGTCATCTGCCTCCTGCTCATTCATCTCTAGTCTGGCAACAAAATTAACGGAAAACCGCTTGGAAACGCCTCATGTAAATATAAAAAAGAGTCTTTTGCCCAGACGAGAAAATGGCAAATTGGTGGGAGGGAAGCAAAGCGAGGGGAAAGTCACTTGAAGCGGGACACTTTTGAGAGTCTGCAAGGAAATGATGGTGAGGCAGTAAAGGTGGCCCGAATGGATTTAGAGGAAAAAAAACAGAATGCTATGAGGGCTCAGATGTTGCGGTGACAACTGTACAGGAGGCCAACCGCAGGCTAGGCAACATGTCCACTTTATCGTCGAAAGTTGGTTGGCCTTAAAGAGTTTCCCACATTTATGTGTCTCTGGAGGCCGCGACAGCAGAACATTAAGTAGAACATGCAGTTTCCTAACACCATTTATTACAGTCAGCCCATCCTCACTCACATCAAATGACGTGTATCTGCCTAGTTCCTTTAGGTATTAAATATTATTTTCTCGCCTTAAAATAAGTTTCCTTTGCAAGGTCTTGTGGGGATTATTAATCCCTTATTTGTCGTAACCCCAAAAAATGAATTGTGACTGGAGTCTAGGCTAAACTCGACAGTGAGTTCCTCACTTTGAAGAGTGTCTAGTGAATCTCTGCGATTACCTATCAATAAATCATACAGATTTGTTAATTTTTTTGATAGAGCTATCAGAGTAAATGCCACGTTTTGTCAACCTATGGACTCCTCACGAGTAGTTTACTTCACTTTTTTTCCCATTTAAGTAGAGTTTCGAGGCTAACAGTAAATCGGGAATATGAGATGTATTCACTTAATTTCGTTTAAGGTGATAAAGGACTGGTAGAAGAATTTTCCCCCAATTGAATTTCACACAGAATTCCTTTCCCAAAAGTTATTCTCATTCAGGATGGACTTATCAACCCCTCCATCGGGAGTCGAACCGTGACAGAGCAGCATGTAGGTTCGACACGTTCACCACTCGAACACATTGCCACGATTGGCCTTGGGTCACGGGGCAGATGTGAATTTCAAGGAAGGTCAACGTTTTTCCAAAATCACATTCTTTGATGGGATTGTCGATGAAGCAAACCTATTTGTGCCATAACAATTGACTATGTTACTTATTTCTCGTATGTAAGCAGAGTTTCGAGACTCACATGTTACTGATTTAATGTTAGTTTCGAAACTCTACTTACTCATGAAAAATAAGTAACAAACAATATGATATGGTGGGATTGTCTATGAAGCAAACGTATATTTTCTATAACAATCGACTACGTTACTTATTTTTCGTGTGTAAGTAGAGTTTCGAAACTACCAGTAAATCAGCAATATGAGAGTCTCGAAACTCTACTTACATACGAAAAATAAGTAACATAGTCGATTGTTATAGCACAAATACGTTTGCTTCATCGACAATCCCATCAAATAATGTGAAATTGGAAAAACTCTGACCTTCCTTGAAATTCACATCTGCCTGGTGACCCAAATACACCTTAAACGAAATTGGGTGAATACATCTCATATTACTTCACTTTTGTTAGTAGTTATTTTTTTATTGAGGCTGTTCTGATTTTAGACTAGAGAATGGGGTCCGATGCCTACTTCACTGCCATCGTCAGCTGGCAAAAGTTGCACAGGATCGTGTATGTAGTTGACATTTTGATGGTAGACCCAGGCGGTGGCCTACGCATCTCGTCCAAGTTGACTACGCTGCCGGCTCATTCGCCCACAACGCATTCCTCCCCTTCAGCCGTTCTCAACATGCTCATTCGCCCCAGGCCCGAGTGGCCAGCCATGCGAGACGCGAGGACGTGATTGCAAAATCATTCAAATGGACACAACTCGAAGTAGCTCGAGCTTCACCTTCATTATCAAGCTCCAATGCACTTGTGCCCAGAGCTAGATATCTATT